CTGGGTAACCCCCACCCTATCGCGACAGCCCCGACAGAACACAGCTGAGTCACAGCATTGGGCTGCAGGAACACAGAACTGGCATCGAACTGCCCCAAAACCCTGAACCAAACTCCCATCATGGCCCAGAGTAGAGGTCAAGCTCCACAGCGTCCGTCTCCCCATCACCCTATCGCGATAGTCCCGACAGAACACAGCTGAGTCACAACACAGGGCTTCAGGAGAACTGAACCAATACCAAATCACCCCATATTCCTGACCCAAACTCCAATCGCTGTACCATGGCCCAGAGGGGGGGGGGGCGGTCCAGCCCCACACCCCCTAGTTCTCATCCCACAGTCCCCTATCGTGACAGTCCCGATAAAACACATCTGAATCACGAAACAGGGCTGCAGGAGCACAGAACCGGCACCAAAATTCACAACCCAAACTCCCACCACAGTGCCGTGTCTCAAAAAGGGGGAGCGGAGGGGATCCAGCCCCACAGCCCCCAGCTCCCTATCGCGATAGTCCCGATAAAACACAGCTGAGTCACAACATGGGGCTGCAGGAGCATTGAACAGATACTGATATCCCTGACCCAAACTCCCACCACAGTGCAGTGTCTCAAAAAGGGGGAGGGGGGGAGGCAGGGGTCCAGTCCCACAGCCCCCAGCTCCCATCACCCTATTGCGATAGCCCTGATAAAACACAGCTGAATCACGACATAGGGCTGCAGGAGCACCGAACCGCCACCGAACCGCCCCATATCCCCAGAACAGCCCCACATAAGGGGTCCCTTTGCCATACCACGGCCCAGAGGGGTGGGGGTCCATCCCTACAGCCCCCTCCCCCCACCCCCTCAGCTGCCGCTATTGGGCAGAACGAGACCCCCATTACCTCGCCTGGGCCTCATCCAAGCTCTGATCGGTGATGGCCATAATCTGCTGCAAAACGTCGCCCGTATCGTGAGGGGGAGGGGCCGGGGGGGGCACAGAGCTCGGATCCCCCGAAGTAGCGGTTGGGGCAGCGGGACCCCCGGGGGGGAGACCACCCTGAAGGGCGACCCCGGCTCCGTGCGGTGCCATCAACCGCGAAGGGTCCTCCATGGCCGCCGATGGGGGAGCGCAGACAACAGGGCCCCGAAGCCACGCCCACCTCCCAAGCCACACCCACCTCTCCGTCCACTCCCACCTCCCAGGCCACGCCCGCCTCCCCAGGCCACGCCCGCCTCCCCAGGCCACGCCTACCTTCCAGGCCACGCCTACCTTCCAGGCCACGCCCACCTTCCAGCCCGTGCCCACCTCTTCAGGCCACGCCCGCGTCCCAGGTCATGTCTACCTTCCAGGCCACGCCCACTTCTCCGCTCACTCCCATCCCCCAGGCCACGCCCACCTCTTAGGCCACGCCCCCATCTCCTACCTGGCCACCCCCACAACGCCGAGACGCTCGCCGTCGTCTGGCCACGCCCACTTTCTGGCCACACCCATCATCGGCCAAAAAAGCCACGCCCACTCCGCTGCTGGACGCGCCCGTCTCTAAAAACCACGCCCACTTTTTCTGGCCACGCCCACCGCTTCGGGATACGCCCGCGCATGACGTCATAACGGCGTAGGAATGGCGGGGGGGGGGGGGGGGGGGGGGGGGGGGGGGGGGTAGAGGGGGTTTTGGTGGGGGAGAAGGGAGCG